TCAGAGCCTGACGCGGGGCTCGAACTCACGGACCGCGAGATCGTGACCTGGCTGAAGTCGGACGCTCAACCGACTGCGCCACCCAGGCGCCCCTCACACTCAATTTTGATAACAGGTAGCTTCACTAATGTGGTATAGTCACGAGGGGGTGTGTATAAGTAGAAATATAAACATCCTGAAAAAAAAGGATATTTGTCTTCATTACATGCATAGCAGTCTCGATTCTCGGGTACACCTCTTTGGCACTCACAGTGTTCCCCACCGTCGTTCTTCCTTTTCCACGGTTCTTTTCTTCTCTCCATCACTCCTCATCACCCCTTGCCCATCCTCCCCCCACACACACCTCCTGGACAGAGACTTCACTGTGCTCGTTCTCCATTTAGGCCAAGATACCAGTGTTTTAACGATTTGAAAGTAAGTGTGTACTTGTACCCGGGTCACTTGTTGATGGCTCTGGTCCTTATTATCCTTCCGGAAATAAAATTTGTGATGATAATTTCCAGATCTCAGTACATGAGAGCGTGAAAAGTGACTGAAGTCTGGGCGAGTGCAGAGCCTTGTTTTCGCCTTGCCTTTTCACATGGCCTGCAGAACACAACTTGGAACCCGCAGACCCATGACGAGTTCTCTCTTGCTATTGGAGAAACCGCAAGAAATAAATTCACGCGTATATTTTGCCTCACGTTTACTGCCCTGTGTCTCCCTCTGTAGGTGCTATTTCAAGTGGTTTCAGGCTGGAAGAGTCTCCGTTTGTTCCCTATGACTTTATGAACAGCAGTACTTCTCCAGCCAGTCCTCCAGGTTCAATAGGAGACGGCTGGCCACGTGCCAAATCGCCTAACGGCTCTAGCAGTGTTAATTGGCCACCAGGTAAAGTGCTGCCGGCTTCCTCCGTGAGGGTTTCTTTCTTCCCAGTAAGGTTGCGTTATCTCTAGAGGTTGTAGGTTCTACTGTAACCCAGTCCTGGGCCGCGGGTGGGGGGGACACGGATAGGACGCATGGAAAGCTGAGCCTCAGGTCTTGGGCCAGCGAGCGGGTCTGGCCCGTTACCAGTGCCCCTGTGCTCCAGGCGGCGAGAGCGGAGTCAGTCCCGCAGGCCAGCGTGAAGAATAACGCAAAACCTCCGTTCGTTGTTCCTCTTCGCCGTGTTGGGGGACCAACTTGACCGTGTTTTCTGTGGGCTGAGGAGTCACCAGAAATGTAGTTACGGCCGCCTTTTCTGTTGCGTTGCTATGGCTTGTGATTTAATAAAGCGCTTTAAAATGTTAGTGTTTAAAAATATGCAAGCGCAGGGGCCCCTGGGTGGCTCAGTCGGTTAAGCGTCCGACTTCAGCCAGGTCACGATCTCGCGGTCCGTGAGTTCGAGCCCCGCGTCGGGCTCTGGGCTGATGGCTCAGAGCCTGGAGCCTGTTTCCGATTCTGTGTCTCCCTCTCTCTCTGCCCCTCCCCCGTTCATGCTCTGTCTCTCTCTGTCCCAAAAATAAATAAACGTTGAAAAAAAAAAATTTAAAATAAAAATATGCAAGCGCAGAGAAATTATTTCACTAGCAAAAATGTGCAAATTATTCATAAGTAGCAGCTTATGTTACACTAATTATGGTAACTGAATCAGGAGAATTGCGTGGGCTTTAGGAATAAAAGTTTTGGATATTTAATAACGGATTTTTAAGTGACAAATAAGCCTGAACTAATTTTAAGTATTTCCTTCCCAGAATTTCGCCCTGGTGAACCATGGAAAGGTTATCCAAACATCGACCCTGAAACTGACCCTTACGTCACTCCTGGCAGTGTCATAAACAATCTTTCAATTAATACTGTGCGGGAAGTTGACCACCTCAGGGACAGGAACAGTGGTACGTAGGCGGCACAAGTCAGAATTTCTGAATGATGCTGGATGATATGGTTTAAGAATGGTTCAAAGCAGATGTGAAACTTACAGCACAGCACCCGACATCCAAGGGAATAGTGAACATAAAAAGAGAATTCGCCATTTTCCCAGAGGTGACTCTTTGCCACTTTAGAAACGATGGAGACTTATTAGCACCTGATATGGTAAACAAACATATTCACTGCATCAGTTAACACAAAGCTCCAGCGAACGTTTGCTCTCCAGTAATTGTAGTAACAATTAAAAGGTGTTTATCTGCTTTATATGTGGCTTCAGTGTTGACATGGTTAAGCAACGGGTTCTTCTTTTTGTAAAAGATTTTCTGTCGTTAATTGTTTATGCACTCTGGGTGTTAAAGGACTTCGTGGGAAGAAGCAGTTGAGCTTTCCTTGTTTTTCCGAAAGTGAAAATTAAGGCCAAGTTAAGGGTCCCACTCAGACACACGTTTCAGTGGGGTATCAGAAGAAATCGTCCCGCCACCTACCATAGGGTTATTCTTCAGCCCAGTTGCAGGGTTCTGTGCACACTCCCGGACAAGGATGAATGAGATGGAAGCATTTTCCGTTTCTGAAACCTGTATCCTCCTATTCCGCTAGCCAGCTTATAATAAAATGTAAAGCAGTCAGCATTTTACAGTAAATGCATCATTCGTGAACAGGTGTTGGCCATACCACAGTGGTAAGGACGGCATCCTCCTCGTTGTAAAATGGCTGAATTTAGGCCGCTGTGTAGAAGTAGTGGATGTACCCACTGCTCTCCCAGAGGAAAGCGGGACAGAGCCAAGCATAGGGCCTCACAGCTTCTTAACGGAAGCATCTGGTGGCTTGCAGAAACGGGCTTCTTTTTGTACAAGATAGCCAGAAGAGGAGTTTGGATTCGATGTTAGAAGAAGCACACCATTGAAGGTTTTGAGCCCCAGACTTGCGGTCGCAGGTGGGTGGGCGGGCTGGCTGCGGCGAGCAGGGGGGACTGGAGTGGGAAGCCAGGACAGAGCGGTCACGGTCCAGCCCAGAGTAGCTAGTGGTGCTGGGCAGGGGGCGTGTACCAAGAAGTCCCTGGAGCTGAGACGGGGCTTGGGGGCGGGAGGATCGAGCCCTCCTGGAGCCGGGACTAGGACTAGGAGGCCCGCTGTCCCCGAGCGTGTCACGGATAGTGACACGGACAGTGCTGAGAATCAGGCGGAGGAGGGGAGCCACGTCCCCGAGCCGCAGCAGGATGATGAGCAGACAGGAAGGTGCGGTCGTGGGCACAGGCAGCGGCCCCGGACCCCGGCGTCCGCTTTCCTTTCTTGGGCCGTGCTGTCGCGTTGCAGCCTCACCAGGTGCTTCTGCTGCTTCTCAGGCACCACGTACGTCCCTTGATCTGGGGATGACTAATTGGGCTCTTCCCCCACGTAGGGTCATCCTCATCCTTGAACACCACGCTGCCTTCAACTAGTGCCTGGTCATCCATTCGTGCCTCCAACTACAACGTTCCCCTCAGCAGTACAGCACAAAGCACTTCAGGTGGGCTCGTCCGGGCTTGCCGAGGCCCCGTCAGAGCGGGTGGGGGGGGGCCCCTCTCCTTTTTGTCTAAAGGCTTTTCAGGGAGGGAGGAGAGTATATTTCTGAGCCTGGGAAAGCACTTGTAACCCCATTGATCCCTTTTTCAAATGGACCGTACCCAGCAGTCTTTTCCGAAAACAGCCTGCTGTCACTCCTGTCTGAGAGCCAGCTTAGTTAGTGCGCTTTCTCTCAAAGCGCTTCTCCAATGAAGAAGCTTTTATTTTTGTAATTTCTAATCCTTCACAGACTGATAATTTTATTAAGTGTAGTAAACCTGAACTTGGAGTTGCTGGAAAAGTGCAAGTTGTGGCAATGTCACGTTGCTGTCAGTTTACAGACACTCACTCTGAATTTCTGTACTCGGCTGTCACACACCAGTAGGAAACTGTTGTGACCAGTCTTCTGACCACACTCAAAGTCACGCTGACTTACAGGACGTGCACGTTATGAATCAAGTAGAAAAATGGTGGACAGTGACAGAAGTTATAAAATTCTCCATCCTCTTGCACCCCCGCCCCCCCCCCATGGTTTTTTAGCATTATTTTGAAATAGTTTACCGTGTGCCTGATCCCGCACACCCCGATTGCCACGAGGCTGCATGCTTCAGGAAGTGAGCTTGCTGGCTTTTTTTTCCCCCTTTCTTTTTTAAGCCACACAGGCCTAGGTTTGAATCCTGGCTGTGTGCGGGACCCATAGGCAAGTTGCTTAACCTCTGTGCTCCTCGGTAGGATGTGTGTCAGGACTAGAGAGAGAGCACACACCAAGTGCCCAGCAGCTGGGCACTTAGCGCACACAGGCCCCCAGTGAACGTCTGCGGTGGAGACCCCCTGAGGAGACCGCCTGACTACTATTGTGGTCCTTTTTCCTGTGTGTAAACCAGAGAGTTCTAAAATCTATGTAATGATCCATGTGGCGGTCTCGAGTGGCTCAGTTATGGTCATGAAGGGAATGTGCTCCCAGTTGCTATTTTAGTGTAATTCAGAGTGTTTTTAGCTTTGTTTCAGTTTCGATTACAGTAATGTACACTGGGCTAAGAATTTCACAAGTCTTGAAATTATTAAGAATATTAGATGAATGATCTGAATTGTTTTGAGTCAAGGGAGCAGTTTCATTTTGGTTTTTGTGGTTTTTGGGCTGTTTAGTTTGATTTGGGGATTTTTGACAGTCTTTTGATTGGTTTGCTTTTCGTGGGAGAATGGGTGCTATCATTATTTAAATTTTCTCTTTTCTAAAAGTATTATCTTCCCCCCTCTCTGCTGTGTTTTCTCCCTGTGAGTAGCCAGAAATAGTGATTCCAAATTGACATGGTCTCCTGGTTCAGTTACAAACACCTCTCTGGCTCATGAGCTGTGGAAGGTCCCTTTACCACCTAAAAACATCACTGCTCCGTCCCGCCCACCTCCGGGACTGACTGGTCAGAAGCCACCCTTGTCTACGTGGGATAACTCTCCCCTTCGTGTAGGTGGAGGATGGGGAAATTCTGACGCCAGGTATACCCCAGGTAAGATGGAGGAGATGTGCAGGGTGGTCTCGTGTGCTTTATTTGCTGAACAAGAACCGGCACGAACAGTTGAGTTTAACAGAGACCGAAGTAGCATATATTGCGTTACCCTCTGTGGAGCAGGATTAGACCTTAAATAAACACACGGTTCTCCGTCATCGCCATCTTCCGCAACTTCCATGTCTTTGTCACTCTTAAATTTTACTTTGTGTCTGGTTTACTTAGGAACACTTATACCCAAACACACACAACAGTCAGTGGCACGGTTCACGAAACGGGCATCACCTCTCTTTGAGAGGTTCCTCAGGAACGCATCTGAAACCGTACGACAGCTTCCGGGTCGCAGCAGCCCGCAGAGGATCGCCGTGTCACAAAGACACGTAGAGGCTGGGCAAGATGGAAGCAGCCCGCCTGGCTTTGCAAACTGGGCCCTGTTCAGGGAAGCCTGGCCTGTGATCCAGATGATGCTGACCTGTGCTGTTTCAGCAGGGGCACACGAGGGTGAAAGGCGGTGCTGACTTAACCCCGTGGGGCCAGCAGGCACAGGGCAGCCTGTCCCAGGACACCGCCACACACGCCTCCCCTCCTCCCTTCCCCTAGCACGGGATTTGGACGGGCGTTGTGTCCCCGCCCTGACACACACACTCACACAGCCACAGATTTAATTCAGAGCTGTGTACCGATTCTACCAGTAAATACAGTTCCAGTCTTCATCCTCCCCCAGGCCCGGAACTGTAGCAGCCTTCCCATCTCTAGGCTGAAAAGTAGTAAAACCTCCCAGTGATTTCTGATCTTTACACCCGTGACTGGCTGAAAGAAAGCTTGGCAGTGTTTCACTTGGGGGGATTTTGGGGGGGGGGGGG